GTCAAACAAACAACCTTCCCCCCCCACCCTTCCCTCAGCCCCCTTTGTCTTCCCTCAGTGTGTTCACTTACCTTTCCCCTCGCACCCTTCTCCCTCCCCCCTCCCCCATACAAATCTTTACCCCCCCCCCCACCACCCACTACGCGTGATCCCCACTTGGCTGGGGGGAAGCGAGACCAACTCCCCCCCCCCCTCCGCCTACGTGCGGCGGTGCCATCGCGCCGAATTCGAGTTTGAGGAGTTTCTGTCCCCCCCCCACCCCACCAATGTCGGACGGCATATCGCACCGGGCTCGTGTTTTGTCGCAATAAAAAACATTAAAAGAACAGCAAACAACCTTAAACGGCGTGGAGAGGCCTCCATCCAGCGGTGGATCCACAAATGGCTGCGAAATTCTCGAAATGTTTTTTTAAATCTTAATTTTATTTCCCACGTCATTGCAACGTACAGTAACTATCGTGAGCCAAAACTCCACGACTGGCAAGTGACCAAAACAAACCCAACGATTTCTGCTCACAGCAAAACGCATTCCCAAGCGACGTCGCGACAACGCTCGGCGTTTTATATCCGAGGATGCAATTGTGCGTTTGTTTAAATTAAAACTAAACTATTTTTTTAAATATTTACTTACCAGGTAAGGCCCACTTGAGCCATGCAGCGCTTTGTTCAGAAGCGACTTTGCCACATATGATAGCTCAACAAAAGTGGCTTATCACGTGAAAATTATAGCAGCCGAATGCTCTAAACGCACGTCGATTCTCAATGTGGAGGGGAAAAAACGGAGGAACCAGAGAAAAATCCACGCGACCACGGGGAGAGACATTCAGAATCCAAATACACAGCAGGCATCAGGGTCGGGATCGAACCACAAACCTCGCCTGGTTAATTAACCAGGCGAGGTTTGTTAACATCTCGCCACCGTGGCGCCAATTTAAGCAGGTGAGAACTCACGGATAATAAGTCTCAGTTGCAAGAGTGACTCTGGGCTCACAGAAATGACGAAAGCAAGAACACAAGTCCAACGTGTATGTAACGTGTATGTAACGTGAATGTAACGTGAATGTAACGTGAATGTAACGTGTATCACTCTATGAGACACTTCAGCACTCAGGCATTTACTAATGATGTGCTTCACTGGGATATTGACAAGGTCTGTGATATCCCCAACCTGACTACGGCTTGGGAGATCTTCAGGTACACGTTTCTACAAATTCTTAACAAACATGCTCCGTTGGTTAGATTTAAAACTAAAGGCAACCGCCCACCATGGTTTTATCCTTTGATTACAAAGCTCATGAAAACTAGGGACAAGGCTTGGGCATGTGCTCAGAAAAGTAATTTGGTCAATGACTGGCTAGAATACAGGATTTTAAGGAATAGATGCGTAAAAAAAAAAACGGCATGCAAAAAATGCCTACTTTTCCTCCACTCTCCTGGAATCACATGGAAATGCCAGGATTTTCTGGAAAACAATTAAATGTATCGAAAAGGCATCCAAAACAGACAATCTGCCCGTTGAGCTTAACCGAAATGGGGAATATTTTTCAGATCCCAAAAAAATTGTTGACAATTTTAACTTTCATTTTTCTGAAGCTGGTAATCTTTTTGATAATGTATTGGGAGTCACCCCTGCTCATGCAAATTCCTACACCCCTGTCCAAACATTAAACGAATTTAGTTTCCAGCCAATCCACGAAAGTAATCTTCTGAAACAACTGTTCTACCTCAAAGGGTCCTCCTCTACCGGAGCAGATAGTATTCCCGTCTTTGCTCTACTAACTGTTGGTCACCTAATATACAAACCTATAGCCCATATTTTCAACCTGTCCATCAAAGAAGCATCAGTTCCTCTAGAATGGAAACATTCCTATGTCCGTCCACTTCACAAAGGGGGCCCTAAAGATGATCCAAATAACTACCGACCTATCTCAATTTTGTCCCCGTTGATGAAAATTTTTGAAAAATTATTGACCTACCAAATTAGCAGTTTCCTGTCCACCAACAATCTACTACATCTAAAACAATCTGGGTTCCGAAAAAAATACAGCACCACATCTGCTGCATTAGACTCTCTGAATCACATTTACAGTAGCCTTGATAATAAGCAGTACTGTGCCTGTCTTTTTCTAGACCTGTCCAAAGCTTTTGATATAGTAGACCACAACACCCTGCTTAGTAAACTAAATTGCCTCGGTTTTTCCGAAAACGCAGTAAAATGGTTACAAAATTACCTCTTTTCTCGCACCCAAACTGTATTCACAGATGGTTGGAGGTCAAACAGTGTTAAGATAACAAAAGGGGTTCCACGGGGTTCCACAGGGTTCCATCCTCGGCCCCCTTTTGTTCTCTCTTTATGTCAATGACTTGGGCACTGACCTGGATCATTCCAGGGTAAATCTTTTTGCAGATGACACGATACTGATTACTGCTGGCCACTCTCCGGATGACGTGATTGCTAAGCTCCAGGGTGATTTCATCAAACTACAACATCAGCTAGTTGCTCTTAAACTAGTCCTGAATACCTCCAAAACCAAGGTGCTATGCTTCTCACCAGGACTAAAGCAGGAAGTTATTTTTCCCCAATTACATTCCTTAAATAATTATCAAATAGAGCAAGTCAAGATCTATAAGTATCTTGGGGTCATCCTGGATTCAAAACTTAATTTTGAAGATCACATTGATTATATTGGTAAAAAGACAAAAATAAAAATTGGTTTTCTGTATCGACACAAGCACTGCTTCCCCCAAATGTTCCGTTTGCAATTGATAAAAGCTACCATACTGCCTCTACTTGACTACTGTGACATCGTGTATAAATCAGCCCCAAGTACAGTACTGATGAAGCTTGATTCCATCTATCACTCGGCCTTAAGATTTACATTAACTGCCCATATAGGACTCACCGCTGTGATCTCTACATTGGGTCAAACTTAACGTCTCTTAATGTTTGACGGCTTGTGCACCAGATCTTATTTATTCACAATGTACTTACAAAAAAATCCGCAGACTACCTGCTGGATCTCCTCTCTGTTTCAAAGAACAAATTTGACCTCAGGTCTTCGCTCATTTACCAGTTTCACATTCCCTATTGCCGTACAAAAACTGGAGGAATGGCCTTTGCTATTGATGCCCCAGGGTCTGGAATGCTATTGCCAATAAACTGCAACTTGAATCGCTACCAATGAGATCTTCTCTCAAAACTGCTCTAGAGGAGTTGTACACCCCTAGCTGCCACTGCTATTCATTGGCTTAAAATAAAATAAAATGTTTCGCTCCGGATGATGCTGCAAAGTATTATCTGTATTTTGATTTAGCGTGCTGATCTTAAAGGTGCATTGAAAAATTTGATACTCCGACTGATGCTTCTGTTGTTGTGGAGAAACTCATGCAGCCAGCTATGGCTCTAGGATTTGGTGTTACATGTTATTTATGTAGTTTATTGTAAAAAATTGGGTCACAGTCCCTATGATCACTGTTACGTTGCAATTATGGCTTTATTTTTTGGTGATTTCGAATACGTTTTTTGGTTTGTACATGTTTGTTTTGTTGTAGTACGGAGTTAGACTGACGGCCTTAATCTACGTTTTTTGTGGTTGTTGTTTTGCACACAGTGTTGGTGTACGGTGCTTTTTTCAGGAATATTTTGCTGTTTTTTTCTTGGATTTTCTGTTTGCACAGTCACATAGTCACTTTAAGATGTTTTCTTGTTCGTGTTTTTGTTTTTTGTTTGTTTGTTGTGGTTGCACCCGATTCAAGAGCCGAATGGCTCACAGGGCTATACCAAAATAAATCAACTGAAATTGAAAATGTAACGTGTACGTAACGTGTACGTGTAATGTGTACGTGTAACGTGTACGTGTAACGTGTACGTGTAACGTGTACGTAACGTGTACGTGTAACGTGTATCGTGTACGTGTAACGTGTACGTAACGTGTACGTGTAACGTGTATCGTGTACGTGTAACGTGTACGTAACGTGTACGTGTAACGTGTATCGTGTACGTGTAACGTGTACGTAACGTGTACGTGTAACGCCACGCTCTTTGACACTAACAGATGAGGTGGGGCGGTGGTGGGAGTTCCGTGGCTACACACGAAGGCCTACCATTGCGCAATGGCCTGCAAGTGATATTTCACCATCTCCGCAAGCATCTTAGCCACACTAATTAAACACTGGCGGAAGAAAATCTTAATTTGACATGGCAATTCCTGATTTCCGTGTGCTCAGTCACTGCTTTTTGTGTTTTCTTTAGAATCCGCTTTTTATGTTTAGTTTAACACGTAGGCTTTAGTTGGCTTTCCTTCCCCCGCACGTCCGATGAGCACGGTTGGCTGCGTACGGTGCGAAAGAAGTTCAACATACGTACGCACGTATGTTCATGTGGACAGACTGGAGCACGCAGCTACCCCGGGCACAGAGTGTGGAAAATTCGTATCGATCGGGCGACTTAAGTGCACTTCATAATCCTGGCTGAAAACCGCCGATTCAGACACGTTGTCACGCGGTAATTACGCGAAATGCCCAGCGGGATCCCCCGCTTGCTGAGAGTAAAGACCTTAGCGAAGAGGGAGGGAGGGGGGGGTGAGGCTTGGCTAAGTCGAGAGACGTTCTGAGCCCCGAGGCCACACTGTAGCAGAGGGGCCCGTCTGTATAATTCAGCGTTCAGTGTCAACACTTTGTAATTCCATGCGAAACGATTTGCAGGGGTGTCTTTGATGCCGACGCATCTCAAACGATGCTGTGAAATTAAAACGGATGGGACGACGTGCGCGTGTGCGTGCAGCCCTTTTTTGCCACTCCGCTGCTGGATGAAGCTCGCTGCACGCCGCGTCAGCATTCGACGACCACAGCCCGGTGGCGAAAGCGGACGCCGCGTGGCAATTGCGGTCGATCGTGGGGATCGTGACGAGGGTGGAGATTGTAGTGATTACGGTGATCACGGTGATCGCGGCGATCACGGCGAGGGTGGCGATCTCGCCCCGTGCGACTCCGGCACTTACGACGCTGATGTCTTGCAGCAGCGGCTCCTCGCTCTGGCTCCAGCCGTGCTGACACTCGAGCTGGATGTGGGACTGGCAGCGCTGGTGGCAGCTGAACTTGCAGTCTGCCGGAGCAAAGGACATTGCAGAGGAAGTGATTCACAGTGCCATAGAGAAGTAACCCCACGATCTGGTTTTCCCATTTACGGTGGCCCCAAATCGATCCGTGCAAGAACCTTCTGTCTGCATAACGATCCTCCTTTTTATCTGAGCCTTATGCGTCATTGTCATCATTATAATTGTCAGTTATAATCTATCCACTGCTGAAGGCCTCCACGAGCCGCCGCTGTCTCCTCGCGGTCGGCAAAGGAACGATCCGACAGTCACCCGCACACGGGAGCTGACTTCGTCGCTCCATCTACAAAGTGGACGCCCTCTTGGGCGAGTTTCTCTACCTTGGCTGTGACTCCGTTGTAAGTCTCGCCCAAGGGGCATCGTTCCCTTCCAGCCCAAGCCAGCTCACTTTCTTAACAGTCAATAAAACGGCATCTCTAACTTGCGTTAAAAAAAATGCGTATGTTCTCTAAAATGTGCGTCTCTCAGTGCAATTTCAACAATTCACCTGTCCACGCTTCTTTTCTGCCGTAATATATCCACATACTTTGTCAATGTCGATGTTTCTGATCCGTACATCATATTGACCGTTTCATCCTTTCCCATCCCGATCAGAACGGAATCGGGAGAAAAAATAAAATAACTTTATTGGGTGCATCTTCAAGGCTCCCACAAGGCCATGTGGGGGGGGGGGGGGGGGGGGGCGTGTGGCACAGTTTAGCGCGAGCTATCGTAGAGTGCGGTAGTGGCGCTACAGTTCTTTTCGATGATTACAATGTCTTTTTAAAAAAGTGGCGCTACGCCTCTCTAAATAAAATTAACACTGAACCGCTCGCGAATTCCGAGATGCATCGGTGAACGGGACACCCGACCCTGCAACTTGGAGACGTCTCGGAACGGGAAAGGGTTAAAAATTTTAACTGAGCTGGACCAGGACACATGGCTAGATGGGACGATGTCCGGTGGTCGAGACTAACAAAGGAGAGGCAGCCAAAGGAGGGAGCAAGCCCAGAGGACGCGTACTAGATTGTTGCATTTCAGAGACCGTGAGAGATGGTGACGGCTTAGGGTGGCCTTCATCCAGTATGTATGTATGTTGAACTTCTTTCGCACCGTGCGTAGCCAACCGTGCTCATCAGAGGTGCGGGGGAAGGACACCAAACTAAACACAAAATTCAGTTCTAAAGAAATTAGTTTTCAAGCTAGATTATTTAAAAGTGCGTTGCTCCAGTGGCTTCCTAATATCGGAAGGAAGATCATTCCAGACGGCCGCAGAAGCGCATCTGAAAGCGCGCGATGCGGTGACCGTCTTTGTTCAATGGCCAGCCGAAAGCCAATAGTGGATGAATCATGGCCGATGATGATGATGTGGTGAAACACAAACAGGACCCGTCCGGATAATAGGCATTCCACTGCACTCACTTCACCGGCCTGGCTCGGAGACACTGGATCTCTGAGCAGGATTTCCATGGTCGCTGCTGTACATGTTTGAGGCAGTCATGTTGCATTAATATTAAACTCACTTCCTGCGCCTGTGTTTCCTGTGTCCGTGCATCCAAGGCACAGGCAATACACCAGCATGTCGTGCATTTGCACTCCAGTAACAGACGAAACATTGCAATTCGATTGCTCTTTTGTGGTCGATTATCCGTGTCCCTTTAAAAATGGTGACCCCCGAACTCCACATCCTCTCTCCCGAAGGCTGGAAACCCCTCCAGAAGTCCCCCGAGAAGCCACAGTGAGCATGATGCGGCTGATGATGCTTTTGATGTCACCAAGGCCTGCTCACCACCTCCCGTCCAGCGGCACACATGGGAACAGAAGTGAGAGAGCTTTTCCCAACTATCTTCATGTTATCCACCGTGACATTATTAAGTAGTCCCCCTCCTTAACCTCCTTCGGTTCCTCTCTTAAAGCCTCACCTCTTCTCCATTGCCCATAGACTTAACACTTCTCAGACTCAACACTGCCCATAGACTCAACACTCCCCATCGACTCAACACTCCCCACAGACTCAACACTCCCCACAGACTCAACACTTACCCTGTACATTAAGCAGTCCCTCTATTTAACCTCCTTCTGTTCTTCTCTAAAAGCCTCACCTCTTCTCCATTGCCCATTCTCTTCCCTCCCCTCGCCCCTCCACTCCTCCCCGTCCTCTCCGCTATAGCCCTTTTGTGATCCCCAAGTACCCCTCTATCGCTGTCGCTCATTCCTCAACCCTTGTAGCGTGCCCCTGTCATCTCCACGATTCCGTTCTGTCATTGTTTTGTAAGCGATGTCAAGCGTCTCGAGTGAAGGCGCTGTATAAATTAGATTGACTATATAATCGGTAATCGATGATTCAGTTTGCACAACACATGGCTGAACATGAAACCGCACATTCACAACTTGGCAACGTAAAATTAATCTGCCTTCTCTAATATCATCCTTTCACCTAACCTCGCCAGCACAATCAGCCACGTTCTATCCACTGCTGAATGACGACCTCCCCATATCGTCACCATACCCTCGAGGGCTCTAAATCCCTTGCGGCTACGGAGCTGATCTGATTCATAAGTAGTTGTTTTGTTTTAGGTTTGGTCGTGCAAGTATAATGTTGATGTTTATCGATCGCAATGCACCACCCAGCATAGGCAATCGAATCGAGTTTTTACGCGATGGGCAAATATGGCAGTTGATTTTAAATTTTCAAGCAAAGACCGGCTACGTTGAAAAGTTGAAGTAAAATGTTGTACGGCGCTTCTCTGGAGATTACAACCAGCACCAACTACTGGACATCTGTGAAACTACTGAACACCTGTGAAAAAGAGCTTTATAGCTCATCGGATTCCTCCAGTATAAATAAATATTCTGATTTTATTAACAAATGCTCAGCTCTCGCTAAATGTGCAGTCTCTGAATAAGCCCCATGTGGTCTCTGTCAGCGCATATGGTATACGCCTTGGATGACCAGACTTTTTCTGTAGCTCGTTAGTCAGCCTTGCCTCCCTGCCTTGGAATTAAATGACGCTAACGATGGTCGGCATCCAAGCGGGGCCCTTCCACATTCGCACGTCTCTGGCTTTCACGGTCCCCCCAACAGGCGGCCGGTGTATTCAGGAAAGCAAACACACGTGCCACACCCCGGGATATCCTGGACAGGTTCTGCGTTATCATTAGACCTCTTTTGCCAGTACCAAAATATAATAGGGTTTTTTCCCCTTTTTTCTGGCAATAAAACTGAAACCTTTTGCAAGGAATCATGTGTGCATTCACCACAATACTTGTGGTCAAAATGCAAACAAAAAACACACTATGAAACTGATTGGTCCACAACTGATTGGTCCACACCAGGGACGGCTTTCTTTTGAGCCTCGACCCAATTGGTACTGGCAAAGGGGGTCTAATGATGTAGATGCTTACCCAGAGCCCTCATTACTTTGATAGTGCATTGTCTTTGAGCTGTACGCCTTTTGGCGTCATCTGGTCTAGCACCAATTGGGTCGAGGTTCAAAAGAAAGGCGTCCCTGGTGTGGACCAATCAGACTCAAGGACAATGCATATACAGTACTGTCTTATCAGGTTCTGCGTTAGTTATGGGAGAGTAGAGGCTGCTCTCGCAACTTTGCTTCTGAAGAGATGCGATGACCTTACCTATAGAGAGAGAGAGAAGCATACACAAATATATGCTCAATGCAAGTTGGTGCAAGGTGGCCGGGTGGCTTTGGAGTTCAGAGTGCAAGGCTGGCCATGCTGGGTTCGAATCCAGGCAGTTGCCTTGTGATTAAAATGAGTTCGCAAGCGTAGTGAGTTGATCGTCCCAGGACCGGTCACCAATGCTCGTGCAATAATACCCAACGTGATAAATTTGATTACAAACTTAATTTGGCTAAATTCTAGCTCCGATGAATAAATATCGTTTTTTTACAATCATGTGACTCATGTGCAGAGTGGATGGGAAATGTCTGCCCTGTAATGTGTGTATGCGTGCATAACAGAGGTCGCCTGAAGAAGTGATCTCGGAGGTAGCTCTGTGATATCAACTTTCACGGGCCGTTCTCTAACACAAAGGGGCCGTCCATAAATGACGTCACGTGATTTGGAACGATTTTTGACCCCCCCCCCCCTCGTCACACGGGGTCACAAAAAGTCAGACACCCCCCCCCTCAAATATGACGTCACAAAACTTTGCCCCCCCCCTCCCCCCCCAAAAAACACATTTCCATTTTGAAAATAAAACATGCTTCAAATTGCTTTAAACTATTGTCATTGTAGTGCGTATTTAATGTGGCGCTGCACTCTGATGTTGTAGGAGTGTTGTTATAACAATTAGTCTTATATCAATTCTATATTTATTTAAAGTTGCGCATTTTGATGTGACGTCACATTTCTCAACCCCCCCCCCCCCAGGTGCGTGACGTCATTTATGGACGGCCCCATAGGGGGCCCGCCCTGCTCTGCGAGAGATGCCAGTGGATTACTCGTCTCATCACGTAATACCCGAGAGCACAATAAGGAAATATATTTTTTGTAAGTCAAATATCTCAAGTGTATTTTAAAGGACCTCTATTATTATCACATGTGCATCCGGTGAACAAACGGAAATTCAAAGCGGTCTTAAAACATGTGCCAATATACTGATCAAGGAATGCAGGCAGATAGTTTAAATGCACCTAAAAGCATTAGGCAAGTAGCTCTTGCTAAATTCCTGCATTAGCGCACACTTGGGTTAAAACTGGCGAAAACGATTACTAAAATTTAAGAACCAAAAATCTATACAATAATGACCGCTTTAACCTTACAGCTGCGAAGGGTAAAACTCCGCATTCACGACAATGATGTCAAATACAAAGGGTTGCTTTTTGCTATGCTCATGCAAACCACGAATCTCCCGTGTAAAATAGCCAGGCAGCTCGCCAAACGGGATCGTCATCCGTGCAACAAATCAAATAAATTAAACTTAATATCACGGATTCGAGGTGGTCGAGCGCTTGCGGTTACGCGGGGAGAGATCACGCGCGCGCTCACGTAGGCGGGTGACCTTCCGCGGGCATCAACACGGTCGCAATCGAGACGGTGGAAAAGAAAACCGGGCCACTTCTCTCAAAGCCCAATGATGCGATGCGTCGCCAACGCCACTGCAGGCGTGCGGAGGTTCGGAGGGAAGGAACGGAAAACGATTCAATCTGTGCGAGCCAACTCTGTGCGTGAGTGCGTGGGTGGTTCTGTCGATGTAGTTCAACCAACCGTTTAATCAATTCTAATTATTTAAAGAATGATGTCTTTCTGGACACCCTGCACTACACCAATCGCTGCGAAGCCTCACCAAGCCTCGAAGGAGGCTATTAAATGGCTGAATAACCTCGATATACTGGACACACGTGATGTTGCAAATTTCGCCTTGCCGTACGAGATAATTAATGTTGAACTTCTTTCGCATTGTACGTAGCCAACTGTGCTAATCGGAGGTGAAGAAGACTGCTCCGAACCTATCGTACGATGCAAATGGACGAGCCACGCAACACGGAATGCCCGGTAGAATATTGCCGCCATGCCCAGACGGCAATGGTTGAATCCGCACCGGCGGTGCAACTCGCCCCGCGCCGGCCAAATCCAATTAAAGGGAATTTCGCGGCGTTAACCTTAATCTGGTGCTTCCATTTACCGTTCACAGACGCCGTGCGGCGCAACAGATTCCCGCGACAGTTGTTTTGGCGGAGTGGTTTGGGTTTAAGTCCCTTCTAATTTACCTTGCATATCAGGGGGTGGGCCAGAAAAGAGTGCGAAAGCTCAATGGGCCTTACCTGGTAAAATGAAAATTGTATAGTTTCATATACGACGGTCTCGGTAAATCACTCACGCTGGCATCGGAGAGAGCGGCGCGCCACACCCCACATGAACTCCCCGCACAGGTCACACCACGTTGGCTGTGCGCACACCCGAAACTCGTGTCCTCCCTCTTGGGCATCCTCCTCCTCAACTTCCCTGAGCGCCGTCTCCTTCACCTCCCCCAGCCGAGCCTCCTTCGAGTGGGCCTCGCCGTGGTCTGCAACGCTCGTTGAGCTGTCAACAATGTCGTCGCCGCCGGCACCCCCCGCTGCCGCTGTTGCTGAACCACGAGGACCAGCTGCCGGGCAACCAGGGACGTCGTCTTCTGGCGACGGAGGTCGCATGGTGCGGCCTGCGGGCCCATCTGCGGCGCCCGCAGAGACTCTACCTTGCGCAGGCCACCCTTGCGTCCCATGGGGCTGTAGTAGGCGGCGTGGTCAGCCCCGGCGGACAGGAGGAGGACGCAGCCCGGCTGCTCAACGTCCTGCACAGCGCTATCAGGGCCCTCCGCGAGGTGGAGGGCCCGATGTGTCCCGTGGTTGGATTTTGTCAGGGAGGCTCCCGTGACCTTCTCTGACTGTCTGTGTCGAACTGCGTGGCCAATGCAGTCAACGTCGTTCGCATCGGTGCCACGTCCATGTACTTCGTCTGCTCTGTCCTGGTGACCATCATTATCACCACCACCACCAATCTTTCCTCCCCCAGCACCTCTTCCACCAGGGCCTCCACGTTCACGTGTATCTTCACAACCTGGACAGATTGACAGACTGCATTTAGTTAAAACCAGGTAACAGCTGTTATTATTCGGAGACTGCAAATCAGCGAGAGCTCAGCATTTGTTAACGCTCGATGATGCTGGTTGTAATGTCCAGAGAAACGCTGATCAGGAAGGTTATTTTTTAATCAGTAGAGGCCTGGGTTAATATGCAACATGTTCCAAAGTGCGATTAAAATAAATATGCAAGCATTAATCCATCGATAGAAGAAAATTCTACAGTATCAACAAAAATAATCACTGCATGTAAATGTGATGAAAAATTTGAAATGCACCATTGCTTTAATAATTTTAACATGTGGCTTCCGAATAAGATGTGGTAATGTGCAAAAGTATTCATATTCATGTTGTCAAAGCAGTTAATTAAAAAGCTCTTTAAATATGTTGACGTCAACCACGACGTCCAACCACCCTCATCACTGTGGTCACCACAACAACCATTGCCAGAGCCACCATCTCACCCCAACACCCCACCATCTCACCACAACACACCACCACCTCACCCGACCATCTCACCCCAACACCCGACCATGTCACCCCAAAACATGACCATCTCACCCCAACACATCACCATCTCACCCCAACACACCACCATCTCACCCCAACACCCCACCATCTCACCCCAACACCCGACCATCTCACCCCAACACATCACCATCTCACCCCAACACCCGACCATCTCACCCCAACACATCACCATCTCACCCCAACACCCGACCATGTAACCCCAAAACATGACCATGTCACCCCAAAACATGACCATCTCACCCCAACACATCACCATCTCATCCCAACACATCACCATCTCACCCCAACACACCACCATCTCACCCCAACACATCACCATCTCACCCCAAAACACCACCATCTCACCCCACAACAATCACCATCTCACCCCAACACACCACCATCTCATCCCAACACATCACCATCTCACCCCAACACCCCACCATCTCACCCCAACAAGCAATCCTCTTAGCCTAACAAGCTACCATATCACCCCAAACAAACCACCATCTCACCCCAACACATCACCATCTCACCCCAAAATACCACCATCTCACCCCAACACATCACCATCTCACCCCCAACACACCCACATCTCACCCCAACACATCACCATCTCACCCCAACACCCCACCATCTCACCCCAACAAGCAATCCTCTTAGCCTAACAAGCTACCATATCACCCCAACAAACCACCATCTCACCCCAACACATCACCATCTCACCCCAACACATCACCATCTCACCCCAACACACCACCATTCTCACCCAACACATCACCACGTCTCACCCCAACAAGCAACCATCTTAGCCTAACAAGCTACCATATCACCCCAACAAACCACCAGCTCACCCCAACAACTTCCCCGAAACCAGCAAATCTACATTACCAACATCACCATCAACTCAACTTCCGACATATCCTCCACCACCGTCATCTTCACGACCACCAACATCATGGACTACCATCGACACTAATATCATCTCAGACAAAAGCAACATCCGCCATTCGCCACTATACGTGGCAGTGACGTCACCATGGCGTTTATGCCAGGCCAGGTGCACTCCGAGGTCACGTGAATTGTCAAAGATTCGCTGACAGGCCACGGGACAGACCAAGGTGCCATGGGTTGACTGACCGAGATGACTGGCAGATGCACCAACTCTGCCAACTACTTTGTCAAATTGCTGCATTTTTAGCCGCCCGGTGCTCCACTCGTTTCTGTGAACATCGCCACTCTGCCCTCCAAAGACAAAGATCCTCCGTGTAGCCTTGACAGACCTTTGGGGCAAGTGCTGTTAGCGGGCACCTATGAAGGCTGACACGGTGCGTAAGGGGGTGGGTGGTCAACACCACGCCCGGCCGCCTTTGTCTCCGTAGTGGCGATGTTTACACACCGCACCAGGTACTCATTTGAGGGTGAGTCTCTGCCCTCCACCACCAATACCACAACACCACTATCTCCACAAATTCACGACTACCATCATATCCACTACCACATCCACCACCATCTCCGCAACCGATACCATCATCTCCACAACCACTACCATGATCTCCACAACCACTACCATCATCTCCGCAACCACTACCATCAATACTACCACCATCTCCACAATCATTACCATCATCTCCACAACCACTACCATGATATCCACAACCACTACCATGATTTCCACAACCACAACCATCAACACTACCATCATCTCCGCAACCACTACCATCAACACTACCATCATCTCCACAACCACTACCATGATCTCCACAACCAATACCATCAACACTACCATCATCTCCACAACCACTACCATCATCTCCACAACCACTACCATGATCTCCGCAACCACAACCATCAACACTACCATGATCTCCACAACCACTATCATCTCCACAACCACTACCATCATCTTCGCAAACCACAACCATCAACACTACCACCATCTCCACAAAGACTACCACCAACAAATATCCCCCGTATAGCCTTAACAGACTGTTGGGGCAAGTGCTGTTAGCGGGCACCTATGAAGGCCGGCACAGCACACGAGGGGGTGGGTGGTCAGCACCACGCCTGGCCGCCTTTGTCTCCCTACACTACCATCTCCAACAACCACTTCCATCAACGCTACCCACCATCTCCACCACTGTCACGCACCAGCCGTGCTACCTACCACCAGCTCAACCACCACAATCACCATCATTATCATCGCCACCTACACCACACCTCCAACTCTATCACGATTATCATCATCTACACTCGATCCCCACCATTACCACCACCACCTCGTTGGGGGGGGTGGGTGGAGGGGTAGCTGCCATTTACCTTGCCACCTCTTCCCGTGATCTCCTCGTCGCGACCTCTTCTGCTCCTCTTTCGTCTGGAGGTCCACCCTGTCCATGTCGAGTCTCGCCTTTGCAACGGGCAGGTGGACGAGGGAGACTGCAGCAGGTTAACTTCCTGCTGCACTTGAAGCAGCCAGAGGCAGCAGGTTAACTCACTGCTGCACGTGAAGCAGTCAGAAGCAGCAGGTTAACTTACTGCTGCATGTGAAGCAGCCAGAAGCAGCAGGTTAACTCACTGCTGCACGTGAAGCAGTCAGAAGCAGCAGGTTAACTTACTGCTGCACGTGAAGCAGTCAGAAGCAGCAGGTTAACTTACTGCTGCATGTGAAGCAGTCAGAAGCAGCAGGTTAACTTACTGCTGCACGTGAAGCAGTCGGAAGCAGCAGGTTAACTTACTGCTGCATGTGAAGCAGCCAGAAGCAGCAGGTTAACTTACTGCTGCATGTGAAGCAGTCAGAGGCAGCGGGTTAACTTACTGCTGCACGTGAAGCAGTCAGAAGCAGCAGGTTAACTTACTGCTGCACGTAAAGCAGTCAGAAGCAGCAGGTTAACTTACTGCTGCACGTGAAGCAGTCAGAAGCAGCAGGTTAACTTACTGCTGCGTGTGAAGCAGTCAGAAGCAGCGGGTTAACTTACTGCTGCATGTGAAGCAGTCGGAGCAGCGGCAGTAGCAGCAACATTGCAAGACAGAGGAGCAGGCAGCAGTATAACTCACAAGAGAAGCAGCAGTATAACTTTACGGTGACTTGCAACACAAGTACAGTACTGTAGAAGTACGGATTTGGAGAAGCGGCACCACTTGCAGCAGGATACTTTACAGCAGCAGCAGTAACAGCGTACGTAATACGCAGCAGTGATGCTGGTGACGATGTTGCGTAGCAGTTTTTTTAACAGCAGAAGCAACAAGAGGCGCGGAACTGACTCAAGCAGCAGCAGCAGCAGCAGATGGAGCAGAGCTTCGAGAAGCAGCAGCAGCAGGAGAGCCGAAGCAGCAGAAGCAGACGTGGAGCGGAGAGAGGCAGCGGGAGCAGATTCAGTGGAAGCAGCAGGGGAAGCCGGGCTCAGAGAACCCAGCAGAAGCAGCAGGAGATGTGGTGGAGCTGATAGAGGCAGCAGCAGCAGCAGCAGTGGAGCTGTGGTGGAGCTGTGGTGGAGCTGAGAGAGGCAGCAGCAGCAGCAGTGGAGCCGTGGTGGAGCTGAGAGAGGCAGCAGCAGCAGTGGAGCTGTGGTGGAGCTGAGAGAGGCAGCAGCAGCAGTGGAGCTGTGGTGGAGCTGAGAGAGGCAGCAGCAGCAGCAGTGGAGCTGTGGTGGAGCTGAGAGAGGCAGCAGCAGCAGTGGAGCTGTGGTGGAGCTGAGAGAGGCAGCAGCAGCAGCAGCAGTGGAGCTGTGGTGGAGCTGTGGTGGAGCTGAGAGAGGCAGCAGCTGCAGCAGCAGTGGAGCTGTGGTGGAGCTGAGAGAGGCAGCAGCAGCAGCAGCAGTGGAGCTGTGGTGGAGCTGTGGTGGAGCCTGAGAGAGGCAGCAGCAGCAGCAGCAGTGGAGCTGTGGTGGAGCTGAGAGAGGCAGCAGCAGCAGCAGCAGTGGAGCTGTGGTGGAGCTGAGAGAGGCAGCAGCAGCAGTGGAGCTGTGGACGGAAAGCAGCAGAGGCGACAGGAGGTGCTGAGAGAAGCAGCGGGAGAAGCAAAACCAGCAGCAGGAGAAGTGGAGGCGTGAAGAGACGGTGGGAGCAGTTTGAGTGTGAGCAGAGTCAGTAGGAGCAGAGTGAGTGTGAGCAGAGTGAGTGTGAGCAGAGTGAGTGTGAGCAGTGTGAGTGTGAGCAGTGTGAGCAGAGTGAGTGTGAGCAATGTGAGCAGAGTGAGTGGGAGCAGAGTCAGTAGGGGCAGAGTGAGTGTGCGCAGAGTGAGTGTGCGCAGAGTGAGTGGGTGCAGAGTCAGTAGGGTCAGTAGGGGCAGAGTGAGTGTGAGCAGTGTGAGTGTGAGCAGTGGGAGCAGCGCGAGAAGTGGAGGCGAGAAGAGACGGCGGGAGCAGCAGCTGCAGCTGCAGGATGATGATGACGAGAATCAGCTGCGGGGTTCCCCGCTTCTCTCGCGGCCTCTGGACGCGAGGAGGCGGAGGGGCGCGGTGTGGTGGGTGGGGAAGGAAACGCGACTCGTGGGGAGGAGCAGCAGCAAGCAACCCAGTTGGTGCCTCGCTATAAGGGGTCGCATATGCTCTGGCTTTGCACTAAAACTATTGTGTTGTTTTTTTATGTTAGGAGGCCGTCCATAAATGACGTCACGCGATTTTGGACGATTTTTGACCCCCCCCCTCCCTTCGTCACACGGCGTCACAAAAAGTCAGACCCCCCCCTTTAAATATGACGTCTCAAAGCTCTGCCCCCCCAATAAACCGTGCTTCAAATCGCTTTAAACTATTGTCATTGTAGTGCGTATTTAATGTGGCGCTGCACTCTGATGTTGTAGGAGAAAACATTTATTAAAAAGTCTATTTAATTAAGTAGAACGTGTTGTCTATATTTATTTAAAGTTGCGCATTTTGATGTGACGTCACATTTCTCAACGCCCCCCCCCCCCTTGTCAGAAATGTCTGACCCCCCACTGGGTGCGTGACGTCATTTATGGACGGCCCATTACTCCAAACGCGTGATGTTGATTCTAAATGTGGACGGGGGTGGTGGTGGGGGTGGTGGTGGGGAGTGGTGGTGGTGGTGAGGGTGGTGGTGGTGGTGGGGGTGGTGGTGGGGGGTGGGGGGTGGTGGTGGTGAGGGTGGTGGTGGAGGTGGTGGTGGTGGGGGTGGTGGTGGTGGTGGGGGTGGTGGTGGGGGTGGTGGGGGTGGTGGTGGAGGTGGTGGTGGGGGTGGTGGGGGGGGTGGTGGGGGGTGGTGGGGGAGGTGGTGGGGGTGGTGGAGGTGGTGGTGGTGGGGTGGTGGGGGTGGCAAAGCGAAGAAAATCCACGCGACCACGAGGAGGACCGAGAGAGAGACACCGCAAAACCCCGAACATACGGCAGGCGTCAGGGTTCGGGATCGAACTCAGGGATCTCCTGTACACCAAGCGAGGTAGTTAACATCTCCCAGCCACCGTGGTGGCCCCAAGGGAGTCTCTTGACTCTCTCTCTGGAGGGTCCCGCGGCGGAGTTCGTAGTCGACGATTACATCGCTCTTGCATCGAAATGTGTGCCGTCCCGTGTGTACTAATTCTGTTCCCTCCATGTGACCAGCCTGTGTACTGCTTCCATACCGTACATACTGTGTGATTACTCTCCGTGCTGTTTGTACTGTGTACATGTACCGTCTATATCTCATACCTGTCAACCAGTGCCTAGCTTATTACAGACAAATGCAGGCCTTATTGGTCACCCCGTGCCCTTATAAATCTCAACGTTCATCCTACAAAGTCCCATCACAAGGGAGAAACACAAATAGACGACACAAATTGCCCGTATTGAAACGGCAGCACACCGCATGGACCTGAAAACTCAATTTCCCTCTAGGAAAATACGGGGTAAACCGTATGGGCTGACACGGGATGATATATTGTACAACCTGTACTGTTTGTACAACGTATTGGGATCCTTGGATGAAATTCGCCTTACAAATCTAAATGATTATTATATCTGCCTCAGTGCTGGCTATGTGATATCTTGTCCGTGCTGTTTCATTCTGTCTCTTCTGAACTGCCTGGTTGTATATTCTTTGGGTCTTTCGGTAAAGTCACGTAGATAGGTTAACAAAAATATATATAACAAAAAACGACGTTTCGATCGCAAGCGGTCGTCATCCTGGCACGTGACTTTACCGAAAGACCCAAAGAATATGAATTCCTGCAGTCACGAAAGCTTTACGCCTGGTTGTATGTCCGGTATTGTTTACTGTCTTCCTTTCCTTAAACCTGTTCATATGATTACAGTTTGGACACTGGTGGGGAACCTTTTCTCTGCCAAGGGCCATTTGGATGTTTATAACATCAATCGCGGCCCATACAAAATGATCAACTTAAAAATTAGCCCCTTATATTTGGTCAAACATTTAATTAACTCACCCCTAATGTGATGGCCTGGGACTGCTTCTCTTTGGCGAGGCGTGGTGATGATGTTAGCTGGTATTGACGATGTTGTTGCTACTCGCGACTGCTTTTCCAGGATTTCTCCTCGATTGACTGAATTTCGAGTCCCGCCTGCGGTTGGCTTGGCAGGGCCAGAGACCCAAATGATTTCGCGGTGCCTCATACGGCCCGCGGGCCGGACGTTCCCCACCACTGCGGTAGAAAGACATCACCACAACGATTCGTGCACGGGCAGATAGCCCGTAGATGTCAACTGCACATTTCCTCATTTGTTTCCACTTTCCTCTGCCTTGTGGCCAATTATTCTCCAAGTGCACATCTTTCTGGCACCAATCTCATTTGTCGTCAGGTCATCCGATAGGGTACAATAATATAACATCATTATTGACAGGCACGCCTGGTATATGTACCCTATTCCTCGTCCCTGAATACACCATTACGTATCAGGTGGGAAATTAAGCAACGATTTACACCTCTGCAAAGCAAGCTTCAAACTTCTTGGGCAGCCTCAATGACAAGACACTCGGCCGTTAGATGTTTAGCTGCAGGATGAGAACTGTGTGGTTGTCCTTGGGCTTGGTGTCGTGTCCACCTGAACCAAACTCTTCTCTTATCCTGGGCAGTTGGCACAAGATGAACAACGTGGGACCTCGCTGGAATCCAGTTAGAAACAGCCATGGATTGCCCCTTACCCAAAATAAACAGCCCGAGACACGCACATTCTCCACCGTTATGAGCGGTCATGGTCAGACCTCGTAGATTAGAATTCTAAACACCCGACGACTTCAAAGCCACATGTGGCCCCTACTTAAATGCTCAAAGCCTCCCCTTTACAAATTCTGGTATAGTCTAAAGAAAACTGTACAATATTCAACACCAGCGTGGCGGTAATTCCCATCGTCATTTCCACACACACAGATGGCGCGGAGAACTAGGGCAAACGCAGATAAGCTCGTTACTCATTGACTTAAAGCTTTCGTGACTGCAGGAATTCACATTATTTGGGTCTTTCGGTAAAGCCACGTAGATAGAAACATTTTTTTTAAATATCACGACGTTTCGATCGCAACACAAGCAATCGGCATCAGGTGAAAAAAAATAGCGAGAGAGCTGCTGAGGCAGGATGTTATAAAGGTTTGAGATGGGTGTTAGCCCAAGGGTCATTAGCGAAGTGGGCGGGGCTAGTGAATAAATTTGCATGTCAATGTAAGATCGGAGAGCTGAGTTACCTCCACGATGACGAAGCTGCGGAGGTGGCCCTTGTATTGCGATTAGCATGTCAATGTAAGATCGTAGAGACACCGCCACATCAAGGAAAACGAGCAACGGTGGCTGTTAGTGAGACATTTAACCTGTTAATTTAAAGACATTTAACCTGGTAACGTAACTCAGAGAGTCGAAAATAAATACTAAACATCACAGCCAGTTATGACTTAACTTGATAATTGAGTGGATAACAAATGTAAAATTACATCTTTAATCTGCTGCTATTAATCCATCCGAAAGAAAGACTGCGTGGCCTTAAAAGGGAAAGTGTATTAAACTTGATTTGAAGCTTTCGTGACTGCAGGAATTACTTTTTAGGTCTTTCGGTAAAGTCACGTAAAAAGAAAATGAATAAAATAATAGAATACGACGTTTCGATTGCAACACAAGCAATCGTCATCAGGTAGAACTAAATTTGAGATAGAGACAAAACACAAGACACGGAGACACACAGACAGACACACAAGCAGAGAGACAACACAGAGACACACAGAGACTCTGTGTCTATGTCGTGTCTCTCTTTGTCTGTGTCTGTCTGTATGTCTCCGTGTCTGTGTTTTGTCTCTCTTTCAAATTGTGTTCTACTTGATGACGATTGCTTGTGTTGCAATCGAAACGTCGTATTCTATTATTTAATTCATTTTCTTTCGACGTGACTTTACCGAAAGAACCAAAAAGCATATAGTGTATTAGTTGACGATTCGGGCATAATGGCCTTCACAACGCACACACACATTCAAAACGCACAATCTATATGTAATGAAGGGGCATTGCCAGAAACGTCCATTATAATTTTATTTTTTTAAGGCCAGTGCTAATAATTTGTGT